AACATTAAAGATTTAGACTAAAAACTTCAGTGATACCTAGACATTTTGTGACACAATGATACAAGACGTTTCAATTCTCACTGGCTAGTCCTCAGGATGGTCACTATTCTCATAATGGAAAAAATGAGGATAAAGATATTATGTCTAAATACCATTCTCTCCCACATGTATACAAGTATCTTGTTTTTATTTTTTTGATGAACTTAGTTATAAAAGACAGGTGTTAACAAGTAAATCATGCTGTGTAAAGTCATGAGGTAATGAGACTTGATACAACACTTGATATACACTAGGTTAACCATATTCACTCAGTGGGAGACAGCAAGTATGGAGACAGTACAAGTATGTATACTCAGAAAAAATATGAAGGCAACACAAATGATTTCTCCTGAGTATTAACTAAGCATTTACAAAATAATATACCATAGCATCCTAACTCTGTTGTGGACAGCACTGGCCATTCACAATGACACTCATTATTTTAATAGGTGTTATGTTTTGGACATTTTCAAATGATTGTGTAGGTTCTGTTAACATATGACTAATATTCTCCAGTAAGATAAACTAAAGTGTTATTCCTTAGAAAACTTAATGTGGTGTTCACTACTCCAGTCACAGTAAATTATATACAGTCAACCCTTACTTTACGCAGTCCCACATTACGCGTTTCCACGTTTACTCAGTACCCTGCCGAAACCGGAATGCTCACTTTCCGCGGTGCGTGTACCCTTTTACGCGGAGAGCGGCGCGAGCAGGGTGCGCACAAGGTCGCCCAGTCATCAAAACATTACCGAGTTCTTCACCCGCCACCCACCACAGCCGGCCCAAGTCAGTGATAGTGATAATGATAGTGAGGATATGGACTTATATGGACTTTGAGGGGTTTGACAAAGAGGCCCTGCAAGCCTCTGTGGTGGATAGTGATACAATTGATACAAGTGATACAGGTGAGGGCCAATAATCTGCCCTCTGCCTCGGAACCAACCCCCCATCCCCGTGTGCCCAGCCATCTTTTCTACTAATGTAAGTGTTAAAAAACCTAATATTATTGATATTTCTCTTAATTATTAATTGTGTGTGCATACCATCATAAAATTAAGAAGTTATTTTTACTACAACGTAGGTATTGTGTCTGAAAAAGTGGAGTTTGGGGGTCGGCCCGGTCTCTATTTCAATTAATCCCATATGTTATGTTGTTCACTTTACGCGTTTCTCACTTTACGCGGGCCGCCATGGGTTGAATTAACCGCGTAAAGTGAGGGTTCACTGTACTATATATTGATCTACTATAGGTATAAATGCATAATATCTCAATTACTGTACAGTACTTGTATTGTATATGTATTCTACCTGCATACATTTTCTAGCCTTTATATGAAAATATATCTTTTTGAAGCTGTAGTTACTGATTTATTATTTTCTTTATAAATTACTGAAAGTCTACAAACTGATGCTGCTATGTTACTTGCTCACAAAATTACTTAGTAACATACGATAAGTCTGAAGATATTTTTTCTTCTTCAAATACCCCGGTACAGACAGTCCCTGGGTTATGAACAACAGACTTATCAACATCAGCCGATACGAATGAGGTTAAACTTTAAATTTACAGTATTTTATTTACTTGATTTATTTTTTACTTTTATTTACTGTACTGTATTTTGTCATTCTATTTCTTCTTTTCTCTTAAATTAAGTTATTTTAGAAATATATAAGGACTTAAGCTATGATATAGTGGGATTTTAAACATTGTTCTGTAAGTACGGCATGCATATAGCGTGTGTTTCGACTACGTACACTTTCAACTTAAGAACGTCCACAAGAACGGAACTCGTTTGTAACCTGGGGACTGCCTGAACCTGTGCACACACCTGAATATTAGTCAATTTAATCTTTACACTGTCCCTCAGTGTCACACCTAAAAGCATCAAAAAAAATTTAACTCTGTTAGTTTGCATTGAAAATATGCTTACAATTTGATAGAATGTAATTACAGCTCCTCCCCAACTTACGACGGGGTTAGGGACCGACATCCAGGTCGTAAGTCGAAATGGTCGTAAGTCGGAAATGCTTAAATAATACATAGAAAATCTAAAATGGGTGTCTCTTTTTCTTCTCAGCACCACAAAACTCTCACTTTTAAGCTTGTCAGCTATTTTAAAGTGAATTACACAATTTTTTTTTGGTCTGTGTACTGACTTTGGGATTCGAAAATACGAAATTTGACCAAATTTTGGTACGACTGAGGCAGGTCGTAAGTGTGGGTGGTCGTAAAACGAGAAGGTCGTAAGTCGGGGAGGAGCTGTACAGTAGGTGATTAGATTTATTTTTTCTAAATATTTTTTGGCAAAATTAAACTATAATGTATTATATTATGCAGTTATTATTTCACTGGTAAACCAAAAAAAAAAAACAATCTGTAGCACTGTACTGTATAGTGGTTGGGGTCAGTTAATTGCACATACAATAACATGGGAAAATTTTTCTCTCTCACTGATGCCACATTCTTGGGTTATGTTTGCATGCAAATTATTTACTGGTGTGACAGGTGTTATCATTCGACTTCCAGAGAAGACTATGTATGTATCATAGTTCTCTACATGTGGAATAAGCCAGTGTGTTACACTGTACATGACTTTCATGAAAAACATAATAAGCATGATTGTCAAATATAAGTTTTAAGTACCCTATCCATGTTATTCAAATTTAGTACTGTATTCATAACTAATTCACTGGATAATTGAGATATTAATTACATTTATATGAAAACTAACACTCAATGTCTACAGTAAAGCCTGTCACTTTATAACAAGAAACAAGTGAGTTACCTGTCAGTGGTAACATCCCAGTTTGTCTACTCCCATTGTGTCTACTCTTGATATAGTAGCTGCTATTCCTATATGATCTACTCCCACTTGGTCTAAATCCTATTAAAATTAAATTTATTTTGTAGATATTCTGTCTATTCTACAGACAAAGCACTAAAAAAAAGGAGATACTTTCAGAAAAAAAAAAAAAAAAAAAAAATATATATATATATACACGAAGGATGAATAACAGTACTAAAGTATTGATAAACAGCAACATTTATTTGGTAATTTTTCGGCAAATCTCTTTTCATCATCAGACGATTGTGTGTGCATATAACAGAGCAAAAGAAAATGAAGAACATTTCATAAATGTACCCAAAATTAGGAGTTGAACAATAACATAGTTCACAGCTCTGTCTCACCCACTTTGAGTGCTACTGGGTGGAGAGTCGGCTACGCAATTACATGCCATATCCACGGATATTATTCCTTGATATTTATTTATTTATAATTTCCTTTTACATTATACCCTCATTAATTCGACATAAAGGGGGTTCTGGGTCACTCGAATTACCCAAAAAATCTGTTAAGTGCTGATAACATTTAGGAGAGCAGAAACAATGAGCTATTACAGCTTTTTAAACAAGAGACTGTGAATATACTATGGAGCAATAGCTCATCTGGGACTGAGTGTGGGATTTTCTTGGGAAAATTAATTATTTTTCGATAATGTTTTATTGACCCGGCACCAAATGAACCTAAATAATATTGGAATTACCGTGACATTGCATGCTGTCGTTATAAAGGGATCAAGGGCTGCCAAGCGGGAGAAGGTGAGTTCTCCTTCCTCCTATCGTATAATGGTCATTGCCTGTACAGTATTGAAACACTAGGGCACAGGAACAATAAATGTGTAAAGTAACTTTCAAAGGATATTAACTAACAGTTGACATTCTGTGAATATGTGACATTTTCAAAGTAGACATAATGGGAGTAGACGTAGTAGGTACAAACCCCTGCCAGCTATAGCAAGCAGAACATTGTTGTAGGCAGAGATTGATTTTTAGATACAATCTACTAAGAAAAAAAAGTTACATGATAATGTTTATTATAAATGACTATACTACTAGATTCTACATTAATGGACAGAAAACAGATTTGTATCTATCACAGTGAGATCTAAAATGAGCAATGACATAAAAATCCATTATCAACACGTATTACTGTATAAACTCTGTCAAAAATAACAGGGGTCATTAAAATAATAAAAAACTTTGGTATTTATGCAACAGCCAAAAATAAAATAAGAAAAGAGTTTAGCAACTGAACATATGACTTTGCACTATAGAAAAAAAAGGGAAGACAAAGTTATCAGTCTCAGTGCAATGCACAGTTGATGACTGAATCTTTTACTATACAAATTCATTTTCACATTACAGCAGATTCAATGCATTCACTTTATATATGTTAATGTCCACAATATTACTTCTTGCCCTTACAACAGGGTGCCCTACAGAGAATATTTCCCAAACACAAAACCAAAATTTTGGCAATCCAAACCACGGACTACTTAAACAGTAGATACCACCCATTCAGATAAAACACGCACGCACGCACGCACGCACGCACGCACACGGGAAAAGGGAAACAACGGAGCTTCTTACTTATTCTTTATCAAGACATCTTCAGGGCAACTGGATTACATGGACAGAGAAAGGCTTAAATATACAGGGTGACCTTATACACCTGAATCCACTAGTCACCACACTCTTAACTACACGACCTGACCTCATCATAGGTCTAGATCAAAGGTTTTCAAAGCATTTTTAACCTTGGGCCACTGACAAATAAATTTATGTAACATATTATCAGTTTTGAACTGACCATCACGGTAAAGCTAAGGTAATTCAGTTGTTTCCTATTTTCCCCTGCGGTGATTTTGTATCAAGATTTATCTGTATCCATGTTTTTACTAGATATATATATATATATATATATATATATATATATATATATATATATATATATATATATATATATATATATATATATATATATATATATATATATATATATATATATATATATATATATATATATATATATATATATATATATATATATATATATATATATATATATATATATATATATATATATATATATATATATATATATATATATATATATATATATATATATATATATATATACACAGTACAGTATATAAAACCATGCATACCTACCATACGTCAAAACTTCAAGGGCTGATTCCTGGGGCCATTACTAGTCAGAAATGTAATCTGAACATTGGTCTGATTCCCAATGGTTAAGAAGGTATGGGGAGAAGCAGCACAATTACATGTCAAAGTTGTGTGTGCCACATAGCATCGCTTTCAGCTAGTGAAAAAGGGGTGCAGGACTAAATTTTTTTGATAGTGAACATTCAGAAAATGAGAGATACCTGTACATCCGTATATTTCTCTCTAATTATGAAATTCAGGGAAAAATAAGGATACAGGTACGTATATGCTTCTAGATATGAGAGAAGGAAATTTTTTTACCATTTGTCTTACTACCATATGCTTTCAAACTTGATAGTAACCTGTTGTTATCACCTACACTCATGGTACAGACTGTAAGGCACCCTTTGGAATTAAATATACCTTTCATCTTTCACTGTCAAACATGTAGTACTGTATTATGAAAACAAATAAATGTGCAATAATTATGTTGCAAAGTTCAAATTCATATAGTTACTACAAACAGCAACTGATATTAACACTAGAACAAAAGAACCCTGTAGTTGCTGTGGACATCCATTGCAACCAATATCAGCCTGGAAATGGGAGAGAAATTAAGTACATTGCTAAATGAGAAAACATGATTTTTTAATATTGGGATTCAATAACATGAGTTTTTAGGTAAAAATACGACTTTCTTCATCTTGTAAAGGTAAATCTCAAAAAAAAAAAAAAAAAATTATATATACAGTATAGTTTCAGCTCTAATGGAATACAGTATACAGTAGTAAATAGAGAAGAAAACAACAGCATGTGATTTATGTATGCACCTGTAAAAAAGTACTGGACATGCCCCCAACCATTTGCCTGCCTTGCCATAGAAAGATATGGTACTGCAGCTTCAGTTGAGAGGAATGAATATCATTCAAGAGTTTAATTCAAGTTTAATTCATCACAACAGAGGAAGGAGGTTATTATCCTTAATCTTTAGCCAAATTCCATAAGAATTTTTTTTTTCTCACAATATTGCAGAGGGTAATGTAGGTGACAGAAGTGACACAATGTTATTCATCTGTTACTGTTCCCGATCCTAAAGCACCACATGTTTTGCATCTTATAAAAGAGAAGTGAGGGGCTGATCCTGAAATCCATTTTACAATGAGGATAATAACAATAAATAATAATGGCATTCTTTTGTTTCTTTAATGTGCCAGTTCTTCCAAAGAATTCACAAGTACATAGTACTTGAAACACAACAAAGCCAAAGACTTACGAATAAAAAGAAATACTGTACTAAAATAAAAGATACAAAAAGTGATAATTCATCTCCTATCATTCATATCCCCTTATGTTTTAATACTTCCTAAACCCTGTAATTCTCCATCACCATGCCTTGTTCAAGCTCATAAGCTTTCAAAATAGAGAAAAAAGAAAAGAAAGGTCTTAAGTTGTTTTTTAAAGGCCTCCACAGAAGTCAGCTGCTTTATTGATGTGGGCAACCAGCCGATTGTACAATCTTGCTGCTGTATAGGAAAAGGATCGAGTAGCAAAAGACCATTCCCATACTGCTCTAGGCTCCTTAAGGCATGAAGGATCATCACTACTTTGCAAAATTGTTCCAGAATGTGTATTCAGTGGAATTAGTAGGTTGGCCAAATACTTGGGTTTGCCAAACATTAGTGTCTTAAAAGTCATTAAAGTCATTAGACAGAGTTTGAACTCCAACCTAGCTTTAATTGGAGGCCAATGTAATTCTAGAAGTGGGAGTCCTTGGTGGGAGAGCAAAAATAAGCCTGGCAACTCTGTTCAACACTACTAAATTTCAACTTTCTTCAGTAGATAATAAGGTAGGCAGACCCATAAAGTTACAATAGTCAAACCGAGATAAAATAAGTCAATGTTTTAGTGTTACAAGACACTGTCAATCCAAAAAAAATGTTTAACAATATACAGTCTAGATTGTAAATATGAAAGTTGTAACTAAGTGAATTTATATGCTTTTTGAGTCCAATTACATTCCAAGATTATGAACAGAATCGACAGGACTGAGTTGCACTTCCCCAAAGTTTAAAGATCCAAAATCATCTACGTATGCCATCTCCCCTCCTATTTCCTTGGAAGATAATAATCTTGGTTTTGTTGTCAGTCAGCATAAGTTTTCTGCTAGCCATCAGACATCAAGAATTTCATTATCTCCTCAATATCCTCGGCATTTATTATTTTCACATAAAGCTGTGTATCATTGGCATAGAAATAGTAGGCAACACCACGAGCACCCAACAGATATACAAGACTACTGGACAAGACTGTAAACAGAAGTGGTCCCATAACTGATCCCTGTGAGACTCCAAACTGCAAAAGGACATGGTCTGAGATTGTTCCACCAACTATCACACATTAAGTTCGTTCTGACAAATAAGACTCAAGCAGTGAGAGTGTATTCTCACGGGCACCAAATGACCAAAGATCCTGAAGCAACAGACTGTGTCAAAAGCAGCAGAGATATCCATCAAGACCAAGAGGGAGGACTTTCCTGTGCAAGTGTTTATTATCAAATTATTATGAATTTTACATAAGGCAGTTTCACTTGAATGATGCATCCTTTAGGCTGACTGAACCAGAAGGATCACCCCCTTTCTCTCTAACAGAGATAGTAACTGATTCAGCATAACACACTCTATGGTGTTTGATATTAATAATGAGAGATTGGAAACTGGACAATAATTTGACATATTCTCATTATCAAGACCAGGTTTCTTAAAAAGTAGATGCAATAAAACCTGTTTCTCAGATCGCACAAAATTGCCCTCGCAAAACATTCATAAATGCATAAAATTTTTCATGATCACTACCACAAGAGACTACTTGACTTCTGTAGTATTCAACTTTGTATGCTGTAACTGAACAAACAAAAGCCCTGCTCACAGTCATATACTGTGATCTAGTACAGTCTGTTCACCATCTACGCCACTCTCGTTCAGAACTTCCATGATCCCTGCGAAGACATCTTATAGACGAGTCATTCCACGAAGGGTCATCTTGTACTATACAGTAATTCTCTTCGTGACCTCTTGACAATAATGGTCTGTAATGTACTGGAAGACATCAGTATGTAACTTAACCATCTCATAAGAGGACAAGGCAGATGAGTCAACCCAGTTCAAAGAATGATTGACTTCCTGATCAATTATGATGGTCAATGTGCCTATAGTTCATGAAAGTAATTGTTTTAATGTAAGAAGGGGGTCATGAAACTTTAAAACCAAAGGTAACCAAAACATGGTCAGAGACTGCAGGATAGATCAGGTCAACAGCAACATCAAATACACAATCACAGTCCACAGGAGACAAAACTAGGTCTAGAGTGTGTCCAGAAAGGTGTGTTGGACATGACACAAGATTGACAAAAATGTTTCCTTCCCTGAAATTGCCAATCAAATCATTCAGGAGGGAGGTTATACCCTGGATCAGATTTTTAACTGTGACTAGACCGGGTTGTTTTGGAAAAAAATCCCCTAAAGTAACATTTCTCTCTAAGTAAGAAAAACAGGCAAAAGGTGTGAAAATGGCAAAGGATCACTTTAGTGTCCTCCTAACCTTTAATGCTTCAGGTGACTACCTCATGAAGCCTCTGGTGAGCTACAAATATAAAAGACCAAGAGCTTACAAGGGATGTGATATGTCCAAACTGAATGTCTACTGGGAAAAGACAAATAACGGCTACATGTCCACGGAGTTATCAAAGAAGTGGTTTGATGATTGTTTTGTTAAGGAGGCCAAAGAATACTGCCGAAAGGAGAATGTGGCCTTCAAAGTGGTGCTCTTTCTAGACAATGCCCCCAGTCATGCACGATTTCTAGTAGGACGTCACCCTAGCGTTGAGGTTGTGTTTCTACCGCCAAATACAACCTCCAAAATACAGCCACTAGACCAAGAAATCATAGTGAATGTAAAGTTGCTGTACTACAAATATGTCCATGACAAGATGAGGAAGGAAACTGATAAGCAAGAAGAAGTGAAGGAAATTGCTGAAACTGTGAGCAGTAGCGAGGAGGAGGGTCCACCCCTCGCCGCCTCCGCTACTCCGCCGGGCTCACACACCGCCTCAGCTGCTCCGCATGACTCACCCACCGCCTCCATTACTCCGCCTGCCACACGCACAGCCTCCGCCTCCACTCCTCCTCCTGGCGTACCTTCAACCTCCACAGTGACTGTTACTGCCTTCTGGAAAAATTATAACATTCGCCAGGCAGTCAATTTCTTTGTAAAAGCCTGGGGAAATACTACGAAAGCAACCGTTAGGCATGCCTGGTCGGCACTCCTGCCACAACTCAAGTCTGCCGAGACGAAGAGACAGCAGCCAGCAGAGCTAATGAACCAAGTGTTGGAAACCGTCCGCAGTATCCCAGCCCCAGGATTTCAAGAAGTGACTCGGGAAGATTTAGAAGAAATGATGCAAGAAGATAACACAAATGACGTCGAGGATCTCCTGGAGGATGAAGAAGGTGGTGAGAGTGGTGATGCAGGGGAGACCGAGCAGAGGAAAGTGACGACACAGAAGCTGTCACTCTTATTGGGTGTCTTTACCAGCCTTCAAGAGATGATCCAAGACATTGAGAGTGAATCAGGTGAAAGGGAGCACGCGATTGGAGTTATAGAATCTATTTCAAGAAAATACCAGACGCAGTACAACGAGCGAGTGAATGCCCGGCAGCAGTCACTCATCACTTGCTTTCTTTCACAACGCCGGCCAGCCGAGGAAGACCAACAGAAAGAGATTGAAGTTGATGAAGACATTGATGACATTGGGGAAATGCCTGAAGATTTTGACTTTGCGGAGTTTGATGAAGTGTTAGCGGAAGTGGGTGAACCGGGTGCGAGAGGCCAGCACGGGGACGGAGGTTCAACGCAGTAGCCTCCATGCCCAGCCTCGGAACAATAAACACACCAAGCACCTCAAAAACTCCCCCCAAGCTACGGGTAAGTGTTATATTACTCAAATTCTTTATTCTGATGATTGAATAACAAATCTTTTTATTTCAGCTAACAAAAAGTGTTAGGCAGGGCTTCAAAGGGGAACAAATGGGTGAAATTCTTGGGGTGGCGGCACCAATAAACCCTTTTTACATGTATTTCATTGTCACACAAATAACGTTTTCGCTAATAACGACGTTTTTCAGGCACCTATTAGACGTTATTGGCGAGAGCCTATGTGTGTGTGTGTGTGTGTGTATATATATATATATATATATATATATATATATATATATATATATATATATATATATATATGTATATATACAGTGACCCCTCGTTTAACGAACACCTCGGTTAACGAAATTTCGATTAACGAACTGCCTTCCATAAGGATCTTCAATTCGGTTAATGAAAAAAAATTCGGTTAACGAAGTTCTTACGAACCGACCTCAACATGTTTTCGCTTGCACTGATCGGGCAACCAGCTTTAGTATCAGTCCGCCAATACATTAATCGGTTCTAGGGCTTAAATTCCTTACTATTTTAGTAAATATCAAGAAGTTTATACTATTCAATAATTTTAAAAGTTTAATATTAAATTTTTTAGTCATTTTAACAATTATTGAACATAATTGAAGGTAAAGTGACTAGTTTAATGGCATCCAGCCTCTTAACACAGCAAACAGGCGTTAGTCTCTCTCTGTTTTCACTGGAGGTAACATCTTGCTTGAGACTCTCTTCAACTAAACGCTTTTTTTCTGTGTTTCCAAGCAAATTATTGGTCATTTTGAAATTTATTTTACATATTGACAAATATAGCAGTGCAGTGCAGTGTTATTTTAAAGAAAATATTCTTTATTTACAGCTAGTTTAACTTTGAAAAATACGTGTTGCCATTGTTTGAATCCAGCATGGGGCCTAAGAGATCAAGAAAAGCAATTTCAATCCAAATAAAGCAGGAAATAATAAAAAAACACGAACAAGGCATTAAATCAAATGCGCTATGCAAAGAATATGGCATGTCGGCATCAACTGTGTCGACAATTCTTGCACAAAAAGACAAATTTAAGGAAGTGAACGTGAGAGACAAATCTACAAGAGTGTTTAAAAGTAGATCCCTAATCGTAGAAACTGAGAGGTTACTTATCATCTGGATTAGGGAAAAACAGATGAAAGGTGATTCAGTTTCTGGTGATTTCATTTGTGAAAGAGCCAGGGAGATTTATGAACATTTAAAGACAGATCAACCTAGTTCTTCAGGAACAGAATTTGAAGATTTTCGGGCTAGCAAAGGCTGGTTCGAAAAATTTAAGAAAAGAAGTGACATTTTAAGTGTTGTTAGGCATGGTGAAGCTGCTAGTGCTGATAAAGAAGGGGCAGCAAAGTTTTTAATTGAATTTAAAAAACTGATGGAAGAAGAAAATTATCTTCCACAGCAAGTTTTCAATGTTGACGAAACTGGGCTGTTCTGGAAAAAGATGCCCAAAAGAACATTCATCACCAAGGATGAAGCCTCTTTACCTGGGCATAAACCCATGAAAGACCGTCTCACTCTATTGCTTGGTGCCAATGCTTCAGGGGATTTCCGACTGAAGCCTATGCTTGTCTACCACTCTGAAAACCCCAGGGTGTTCAAGCAACAGAAAGTGGTAAGAACAATGCTTGGAGTTTATTGGAAGTCCAAACCGTAAGGCATGGGTGACAAGACAGTTCTTTAATGAATGGGCTATTGATGTGTTTTGCCCCTCTGTCAAGAGCTACCTAACCACCAATAAACTTCCTGTAAAGGCTCTTCTCCTCATGGATAATGCTCCTGGTCATGACCCTGACCTTGCCAGAAATTTGGAGTATAAATTTGACTTTGTGAAAGTGTTGTTTTTGCCTCCAAACACTACATCACTCATACAGCCAATGGACCAGAATGTGATCAGCAACTTCAAGAAGTTGTACATGAAGAAAATGTTTAGGAGGTGTCATCAGGCAACTTCCATTGATCCTGAACTAACACTGAAACAGTTCTGGAAGACACAATTCAACGTCCTGGAGGCTGTAAAATTGATTGTGTCATCATGGCAAGAAGTCTCCAATAGAACCCTCAATTCTTCATGGAAAGCACTGTGGCCATCAGTAGTCCATGATTTTGAGGGATTTGAGGATGACACAGAGTTGGACCAGGAGATTGTGTCCATTGGTCAGTCATTGGGTCTTGAAGTGGAGGAGAAGGATGTGGAAGAGCTTGTGATGTCTCATGAGGAGGAACTTACTCCTAATGACTTGAAGGAACTGGATGAGATGTTACGGGTAGAGGCTGACAGTGGTGAGGAGGAAATTGAAAGTGATGACCATATGTCAGCTACACAGTTGAAAGATGTGATTTACCACTGGGAGAAGTTCAGGGAACTGGCTTCAAAGCACCCAGAAGTGGAAAAAACTGAACTAGCTTTGTGTCATGTTGAGGACTCAGTGGTCTCCTTCTTTAAACATAAGTTAATGGTGAGGAGGACAGATGCCCCACAGACCACAATTGACACTTTCTTCAGTAAAAGGCAGAGGGAACAAGATGCTAGCCCTCAGCCTTCCACTTCAAGAAGGAGAGAGGATGTTCATGGTGGAGAATCTGTCAGTCCAGAGGTTCCTGACATTTTCATGGAAGGTGACTCACCTTCCAAGAAGCAGTAAAATGCTTCTCCTCCACCTCCCACTTCCTTCTCTTCTCCTTTCTCCTCCTGCACCTCCCACTTCAAATGCACATCATCACCATCATCCAGGAGCCTTCTACATACACACCTCAAAGTAAGTACATTTTTCCGCCATTTTTGTTGAAGTTAGGAAATTTTCGGTGAGCTGGAACCAATTACCCAAAAACCCATTGAAACAATGGTTTCGGTTAACGAACGTTTCGGTTAACGAACGACCTTCTGGAACGGATTGAGTTAGATTAACCGAGAAACTGTATATATATACACATCTCCTCCCCGACTTACGACGGGGTTAGGGACCCAAATCCAGGTCATAAGTCGAAAATGCTTAAATAATACATAGAAGATCTAAAATTGGTGTTCTTTTTTTCTTCTCAGCACCACAAAATTCTCACTTCTAAGCTTGCCAGCCATTTTAAAGTGAATTACAAACGAAATTTTTTTCTGTGTACTGACGTTGGGACTCGAAAATACATAATTCGACAAAATTTTGGTACAACTGAGGCTGTCGTAAGTGCAGGTGGTCGTAAGTCAAGTAGATCGTAAGTCGGGGAGGAGCTGTATACACTTCAATATTAAAAGCTGGATACTCACAGTTGAGTTGCTCATGAGACAGCTTGTTGGTTGTTTTCTATACCTGTCTTGATACCCACATGCCTCTAAAATTGTCACTCGTTTTGGCTGGATGTTGGGTAAGTTGGAATGTACACCACATTCTTGTGAATTTACACTCATTTCAATTGCAATCAGCATTGCATTGGTGTCCTGTAGTCGCTCAGCCCAGAACTGTGTAGGTCATATACAAACTATGATTATTTCCTACTTGTAAGAGGTATTTTATTCTTTCATTATCAGAGAAAAAAGAGAATTCTTTCAAGATCGTGGATATTTGCCTGGCATTCTTGAACAAACAACCCTCAGAGTCAGGAGTAAATAAACACATACATTCGCTCTTCATGAAACTAATTATATAATTTAATATGTTACTGTACAGAATCTTAAAAAAGTATCTGCCAAGATGGTTCTGATGACTTCTGAAATGCTACATGGAACTTGTGATGTCCCGGGAGGGTTGGCATACTGATCCTACTACATTTGATAACCAAACATATTAATTACATCAAAATAAATACACATTGCATTACTTATGTTAAACTATATACCAAAGTAAATACATGTCCGAATATCTATCATCCGTGGTCTCATAATGTTTCACATAGAGTGTGGATAGAAACTTTCTTGAGATACTGTACATAAAATGCTAGTAATTTTTTTTCAAAGACCATACTTCATGATAACCCAAAGTTATGTGATAACACATAGTGCTCAACACTTCATCATCACACAAACTTAACATTTTCTCTTCATTTGTCTTTATTATATCATAGTATTCAATAAGTAGAATATATATTTCCAAGTGACCCCAGATTCTTCATTTCCCATATCAGATGCTGTATTGTCTACACTGATTCCTTTTACTTTTAGTAGATATATTTATTTTATATCATTAAAAGTATTCTCAAAACACTGTCTACTACTGTACAGTATACCATCAAATCCTCTTTTTTTTGTATGGAATGAAATTTGAATGAAAATTTCTATTTTATATTAGTTCACATTCATGCACTGCATTTTTCCTGCTATGGTTGGAGTTGAGGGTGTTCTTTATAAGAAGAAATACTGACCAAATGTTCCTCCACAGCACCACAATGATAATGACCAAACCAATCAGCAAACAACATAACATTTTCACAGGGATAGAAATGGTGATTCACACAGGAATACGACATACCTTATTCCTGAAATCTGGATTTTGTTTTGTTTTTGTACCTAATCATGCCCTCTCCTTTTCCCCCATCCCTCTACTGTGTACCCAGTGACTAAATCAATAATACAGTGGTCCCTCGGTTAACGAGCACAATCCGTTCCAGCAGGTTGCTCGTTAACCGAAAAACTCGTTAACCGAAACCATTGTTTCAATGGGTTTTTGGGTAATTTGTTCCAGCTCACCGAAAATTGCCTAAATTCAACAAAAAAGGTAGAAAAGTACACTTACTTTGAGGTGTGTATGTAGAAGGCTCCTGGATGATGATGATGATGGGAATTAGAATGGGGGTGGAGGAGAAGAGAAGGCATTGGGGTGGAAGAGAAGTCACCCCATGGCACCATTTCACCCATAAAATTTTAGTTCTCTTGGTGTATTTCAAGATTATTTTCTTTAAATCAACACTGCACTGCATTATATATTGTCAATATGTAAAATATATTTCAAAATGACCAATAATTTGCTTGGAAACACAGAAAAAAAGCGTTTAGTTGAAAAGAGTCTCAAGCAAGATGTTACCTCCACTGAAAACAGAGAAAGACTAACGCCTGTCTGGTGTGTTAACAGGCTAGATGGCATGCCAGAAACTAGTTTCTTTACCTTCAATTATGTTCAATAATTGTTAAAATGACTAAAAAAGTTAATATTAAACTTTCAAAATTATTGAATAGTATAAACATCTTGATATTTACTAAAATAGTAAGGAATTTAAGCCCTAAAACCGATTACTGTATTGGCGGACTAATACTACAGCTGGTGGACCGCCAAATGCAAGCGAAAACATGTTGAAGTCGGCTCGTAAAAAACTCGTTAATCGAGGGATTGCTCGTTAACCGAAGTTAAGAATCTTATGGAAGGTAAATCGTTAACCGAAATCTCGTTAACCGAGGCGCTCGTTAACCGAGGGACCACTGTAATAAACTAATCACATGGCTAAACTAATAAATATACCTGTACAGTAATATTAATAATAGCACCACATGTATTACTGCAGTAAAATCATATAGTGTACAGTACTATACAACATAATCCTTTAGTCTATCAACAATAATGAACAATTCAACCAACCTACTGTATAGAGATACATACATACCGTATATACAATAATTAGTACATCAAATACTGTAAAAAAAACACATTACTGTGCAATATCATAATGTACACGTATTATAAAAATGAAAGTGGGTCCTATAGGCCTGATGGTCTGTTGGGGGCAGTGTGAATACTGTATAGTGTAGAATAAGCTTTTTCTTGGTACACAAGGATTCAGATACCTGTACCCGACTATAGTGCGTTTTTTCTCAGCTGAGAAAAATGCCCCGCCCCCCTCCTCAAGAGTTACAGCTGATTGGCTGTTGCAAACCTGTGTGATTTTGTCCTGAGTAATGATGTATTTCTAAATGAGTTTATTCATAATAACCGTTTCTGACGAGAAAGATATTTAACTAAATTTTATAAAGATACATACCTTCATTATTTCAAACAGGAGCACGTAGGAAGTTTATCAGAAGTATTGTCCATGAGTTAACTGATAAATTCGGGTAGCAAATTCACGCTTTCGGAGGATGCATTTAATATATACTTATTTTTACCTACAATAAGACATTCTAAGACAAATTACATATCAGCAATAGTACATTATGCAAAAATATTTTAAAAGATCAGAATCACATTGAAATATTACATGACTGTTAGCTGAGGCAGGAAAAATATGATCATATTTCATTCTGCGAATGTGTCCCCGCCACAAATACTCAGGGAAGGGTGTACAGTACAGTATAAGTACTCATTAACATTTGACTAATTTTACGGATTATAGTGCTAAAAGGGGCAACTCTGAACGGGGTCCACCTGTATACAGTAGTACCATACGGTACTATGATTTAAAAATACCTGTACTATTAATGACAAATCTCTTCCTTGAGTAGAGGGAAATTACCAGATATCACCACCATGACAATAGCCTCCTTCAACCACACTATTCACCTCCCACATTATTAACATAACTATGTACTGTACTATATAGCACAGTACTGTACTGTATTACATTAAAAGAGAAGCAAGTGAATATACGTTACACATACATATTAACATCATGGAAAACTACAGTTCAGTTCATGAAGTATTGTACAGGCATAAAGGACCATATCAACTCTGACTATGATAAAACTAGAGTACTACACATCTCCTATTAGGCTGTCAGGCCTATGGGACCCACTTTCAAGGCTGATAAGTAAAGACACTGGCTGTACCACAGCAGCCATTGGGAAATCTATTGTGATATTGTGGGGTTTACTGTACAGTACTATGAAACACTCGGGTGAATAATTACTTTAACTTTCATCCTCTTCGCCACTGACCAACTCATTAGCTGCTTGGGCAGTTGGTCATATCTCTGTTATGCACTGTTGGCAAGTACTGGGCATGTTCTTAAATATTTCTGTACTTACTTTTGCAGTGAAGTTGGTACACTTCATGATGCCTGACTTTGCTCCTGTCTCCCCAAAGTAGTAGGTAGCTCTCTCCATTCTACAAGACTCCATACCTCCAATCTGCGTCATTCCCCATTCTGACCACGCTTCCACACTTGGTGTGATGAGAGCTAACAGTCCACTGTGAACAACAAACATTAATGGAACATCTTCATAGGTACATGTTGTAACTTATCAAAATATTTCTCATTTCTATTTACAATAATTTGTAAACTACTAGGAATTAAACTAAAAATTTATACACACACATTCAAGTATGATACAATAAAATATGTTTGTAAATCAAATGAAAAAGGATGGATTTCCTACTGGAAGCACAATCAAGAATTAGGTAAATTTTTATTGCAGATCAGCTTTGATAAAAGTTAAAATCAGGTTTTCATCCTTTGCAGATACAAGTACTGTAACATTATCAACCTACGTACAACCACACAAATACTGTAGTATATACAGGTGCTCCTCTACTTAAGAACGTTCAACTTACAAACCTTCAGAGATACAAACATCATCACTGAGGGGGGTTACCTGCCAGAACAGGTGTTTAATGTGGATGAGATTGGATTATTTTGAAGAAAATTCCAGATAGAATAAACATTACCTAAGAGAAGAAGAGTGAGCCAGGTTTTAAGGCTGTATTAAAGAGTATAGCTGTACTAAATATCCATAATCCTTTAATTTTGTACAATATGTTTGGTATCTACATGAGTAAAGTTGGACTTACAAACAAGCCTCAGGAACGTAACTTGTTTGTAAGTAGAGGAGCATCTCTCTCTCTCTCTCTCTCTCTCTCTCTCTCTCTCTCTCTCTCTCTCTCTCTCTCTCTCTCTCTCTCTCTCTCTCTCTCTCTCTCTCTCTCTCTCTCTCTCTCTCTCTCTCTCTCTCTCTCTCTCTCTCTCTCTCTCTCTCTCTCTCTCTCTCTCTCTCTCTCTCTCTCTCTCTCTCTCTCTCTCTCTCTCTCTCTCTCTCTCTCTCTCTCTCTCTCTCTCTCTCTCTCTCTCTCTCTCTCTCTCTCTCTCTCTCTCTCTCTCTCTCTCTCTCTCTCTCTCTCTCTCTCTCTCTCTCTCTCTCTCTCTCTCTCTCTCTTTCTCTCTCTCTCTCTCTCTCTCTCTCTCTCTCTCTCTCTCTCTCTCTCTCTCTCTCTCTCCCTCTCTCTCTCTCTCTCTCTCTCTCTCTCTCTCTCTCTCTCTCTCTCTCTCTCTCTCTCTCTCTCTCTCTCTCTCTCTCTCTCTCTCTCTCTCTCTCTCTCTCTCTCCTCTCTCTCTCTCTCTCTCTCTCTCTCTCTCTCTCTCTCTCTCTCTCTCTCTCTCTCTCTCTCTCTCTCTCTCTCTCCTCTCTCTCTCTCTCTCTCTCTCTCTCTCTCTCTCTCTCTCTCTCTCTCTCTCTCTCTCTCTCTCTCTTTCTCTCTCTCTCTCTCTCTCTCTCTCTCTCTCTCTCTCTCCCTCTCTCTCTCTCTCTCTCTCTCTCTCTCTCTCTCTCTCTCTCTTTCTCTCTCTCTCTCTCTCTCTCTCTCTCTCTCTCTCTCTCTCTCTCTCTCTCTCTCTCTCTCTCTCTCTCTCTCTCTCTCTCTCTCTCTATATATATATATATATATATATATATATATACACACACACGGTATAGTCTGCATTTACGCGGTCAAAGGAACCCATGGAGGTCTTCGTAAAACGAGAAACACGTAAATGAAATAACAGAACATATGGGATTAATTGAAATAGAGACTGGGCCGACCCCCAAACTCCACTTTTTCCGACACAATACGTACGTTGTAGTATAAATAGTATCTTAATATTATGATGGTATGCACACACACACATAATATAGAAGAGAAATATCAATAAGAGAATAATATACTGTACCTGGTAAAAGAAAAATCAAGGTTTAACACTTACGTTAGTAGAAGAGAGGGGTCGGCATACGAGGATGGGGGCTGGTTCCGAGGGAGAGGGCAGATTAGTGGCCCTCAGGTGAATCACTTGTATCACTATCCTCCACAGAAGTCAGGGCCTCCCTGACAAACCCCTCAAAGTCACCATCACTGTCACTATCACCGACTTGGGCTGGCTGTGGTGGGTTGCGGGCGAAGAAGTCGGTGATGCTACGCTGACGGCTAGTGTTGATGTGGTCGTGATACATCTGGATGTACTGTTCCATACTTTGGTCTAGAAGGTTATTGAAGACTTCATACCGGTGATTGACATGGTCTTTTGAAAGGGTGAGCTTTAGTGTCTCGGCAAACTCGATGGCATCCTTTACATCACCATGAGTTAACTTCTGTTCTCTTGCTGCCGCACCACCTGCCTCCTCACTGACGTCATCGTCTTCCAACATCTTGTCGGCAGTCACCTCAGGATCCCTCATTACCTCCATGATGTTGTTGTTGGTGGTCTCGGAGAAGCCTGCAGCTGTAACACTCTGTGCAGCTTCTCTTGCAAGGTCCAGTGCCACTGCAAAAGACTGAACCTCACCAGCCACAGGTTGCCTCTGCCTCCCACCTGGGATACCTTGCAACACATGCTGCCACGCGTGATGAATCGTGGCCACAGACAGCTGCCCCCATGCCTCCACCAAGAAATCAACAGCTTTCTTTACGTTAAACATTTTCCAAAACTGTTTAACTCGCACTTCATGCTCTGCCAACTCTTGTTCTGGATCCTTGTTGTCGCCACTCTCGCTATCTGTGCCACTCAGAAGGTTATGCAACTTACCCTTGGTGTTGGTGTAGTCGTTCAGGAGCTTAAACTTCTTTACGGAGAATGCAGCCTTAACGTTGCATATCGACTCCTGGTCCATGGGCTGGATTAACGACTTAGTGTTGGGAGGAAGGAAGACCACTTTTACACTGGGGGTGACGATCCAACAGTAGGGGCGAGTGTCCTGGTGCGTTGTCAAGCAGCAACCAAATGTTGAATGGCACATTATTTTGCGCGCAGAAATTCTTCATGTCAGGAACGAAAGTCGTCAAACCAGGAGAGGGACAGGCCAGTGAACATCCACGCCTTACGTGAGGTTAGCCAGCGGACATTTAGCTTGGTCATGTCCATGTTCTTGTAGGCTTGCGGGCTGTGTGGATCACCGACAACTTGAGCTTACAGGTACCGGAGGCATTGGTGGTAAACAGGACGGTGATGCGCTCCTTCTGCAACTTCCGGCCACGATACTTGCTGGCAGACTTGACAACGAAGGTCTTGGAAGGTAATTTTTTTCCAAAACAGCCCGGATTCATCTATGTTGAACACCCGGTCGTCGGAGTACTGTCCTTCCTCCATAACTTCTCGTAAGAATGGAGGAAAATCCATGGCGGCAGCACGGTCAGCACTGGCTCCTTCACCAACAATGTTAATGTTGGTAATCTTGTTCGGTTTCTTAAACCCTTGCAGCCACCCAGAGGAAGCAGTGAAGGGTTTGGGCTCTGCAATTCCCATCTTGCGTGCTACTGATGAGTACAGTTCACGAGCGTAGTCCTGCACTGCCTGCGTGACCACAGCCATGTTACGCCTTGCCTGACAAATTAAGTAGCTCACTAGTAAGTTCTCAGTCTTGAGCAGCACCTTATTCTGACAATACTTCACCATTGAAGCACCTGCAGACTTTGTGATGCTCAAGTGTTCTTTAATCTTGGCTGCATCCTTCTTGATCGTCCGGATCGTAGATTTGTTCACGCCATGCTGGCGCGCCAAATCAACTTGTCTCATTCCTTTCTCCAACTCTTGCACGATTTTGTACTTAACTTCGTAACTTAGGGCACGCCGTATCTTCTTGGGCTTGAGGCAGCTGGGTCCAGGTAATGCAAAGTTTTTCTGGGGTGGTGGGGGTCCAGCAGAAGCCATTGTTGAACAGATTAGTGGGCACAAGAGAGAACAGTATACGCGGTGATTGAGAACAATGAGACTGACGTGGCTGGGTCAGTAGCTTCTCTCCTGTGCCAGGCCACGTCATATAACATTAGACCAATCACAGCTAGCAGCGGAGGGAGGTAAGGATAAGTGGCCCAATCACAGTCCCATACGTCATATGACGTCAGCTATAACGCAACAGCGACATACTGCACACCCATATTCGTGCCGCTTCCCGCATATGGTCGAGAATGGACCGCGTGAATAAAAAATGGCGCGGCGCGTCTGGACCTCCTGCCGCTCGCCACGTAAATGACCAAATTTACCGCGTAATTAAAACATTATAATTCTGGCAAGGCACCGCGTAAATGACCAAATGCATAAACAAAAACCGCATAAATCCAGACTATAGTGTGTGTGTGTGTGTGTGTGTGTGTGTGTGTGTGTGTGTGTGTGTGAGATAATAATAATAATAATAATAATAATAATAATAATAATAATAATAATAATAATAAACGGTTTATTGAAAAAGTTTGCAGCCCGAAGGCTGAAAATATACATTGGACACAAATGACTTATTACATACATTGATGTGTGTGTGTGTGTGTGTGTGTGTGTGTGTGTGTGTTCATTTACGCAGCACCTGTCCAGACGCGGCAATTATTAGTTACGCGGTACATTCCAGCATTTACGTGGGAAGCGGCGCAGACAAGCTGCGCGCTAGGTCGCTCTTACGTCACCGCTGACGTCAGATGACAAATCGGACTGTGATTGGGCCACGCATCCTTACCACCCACGCAGTCCCTCCGCCGCTAGCTGTGATTGGTCTATTTAACCTTGCTTGCCCAGTCAACAAAACATTACCGAGTTCTTCACCCGCAACCCACCACAGCCAGCCCAAGTCAGTGCTAGTGAGGATATGGACTTATATGGACTTTGAGGGGTTTGACAAGGAGGCCCCGCTAGCCTCTGTGGTGGATAGTGATGCAGGTGATACAAGTGATACAGGTGAGGGTCAATAATCTGCCCTCTGCCTCGGAACCAACCCCCCATCCCCGTGTGCCCAGCCATCTCTTCTACTAACGTAAGTGTTAAAAAACCTAATATTATTGATATTTCTCTTAAATATTAATTGTATGTGCATACCATCATAAAATTAAGATGTTATTTTTACTACAAAGTACATATTATGTCGGAAAAAGGGTAGTCTGGGGGTCGGCCCAGTCTCTATTCCAATTAATCCCAAATGTTCTGTTATTTCGTTTACGTGTTTCTCGTTTTACGAGGACATCCATGGGTTTAATTGGCGGCGTAAACTGTATATATATAATCATATTAAGTTCTATCTCTGGGGGTATAATTACATAACTAAGCAACATAATTTTTTTTTTAGTTAAAATGCTGTGATATTTTGTATGTTACATGTGTGCAACATTATTTAATTAATTTTATGTTTACTCTGGGCATAATTATGCGATTAAACAACATGGTATACAATTTTCTAAGTTACAACTCTGCCATCAGTCCTTTGCTACAACTGTGTCATAATTCATATCTAACATGTGTACGTCATCATTTGATTAACTCTCTATACCTGGGAGTTTAAATTTGAAATACAATTCCGGTAATATTTTTTTATAAACACTATTAACGAGAAAGCGGCCTCACAGACATCGCTCATAATTGTACAAGAACCTTGATAGCTTGATTTTGAACTGCTGAATGTCTCTTTCATAAAGTGATACAAAACGTAGACGTCAAAATTCACCCTTGCCTAATTGTCAGCCTGTAATTCTATCATTTTGAGTGCAAAAGAGCCACACTGTTTTACATCTGTTTTGAACAGAAACTGAAAAAAGTAAAAAAAAATCAGTAAGCAACTCAGGTAATCTACCATTGAAATTTGCTGTACTTTTCTGTCTGCATTTGTAGGAAGTAGAGAGTGAACTGAGCAAAAGGTTTCATCAGGGCAAGCCTAACCTGACCTGACACAAGGAGTAACTGTGTTTATCCCTTGACCATAATTTATGGTTCCAAATTAACATGTGACCACTGCAAGACCCAGGTGACTCCAGCGATCCCATGAGCTCCAAGTCACCCCATCAACCCCACATTTGGGAAATGCAGTACTAATGAGGCAGTGTAATGTGATTTTTTTTAAATTTAATTTTCAACGAATTATAATCCTTGATTCATATTATTAATATAAATACATACTGTTGATATGAACAATTTAATTACATTCAGTTATTCATTCGATGCTAAATGCATCTTAATTAACAAGGTAAAATAACACAGTATAAAGACAGGCTAGAATGCACAATGCTTTCTTCACAATATTATCCTAAAACAATCTTACTTGACCATCCTATTGTATATTCAAGGGAACAGTGACTGACCTGTAGAGTAAATATTTTAGGTATTCAGCCCATGAGAACACCTCCAACAGGAAACTGGCAGCAAGGGTGAAAGGACTTGGGATGTGGTAACTTCTTGGGCCTGCACTAGTCCCATTAAGCTTGAGCTCCGTACATATGGCCTGTTTGTCCAGTTCAACCTCCATATCATATAATCTTGAATCCTTCAAGTGCTTCAGAATTGGCACATCAAGGTCTCCAATAAACATACCTTGAAGAGTTATTCCGTGCAGCTGTTGGAAAGAAAACCAGACTGCACCTCTTTTTATACCTACTACCATCTATCATCTTTAATTATTTAATGAAATTATCAAGGTAAATAAATAACTTCAATGTTTTTCACCGCCATGTTTAAACAGGTTGTTTTTATTATTTATGTCAAATTGGTAATCTTCTAATGAATGAATTTTCCTACCCTCCAAAGTACAGTAAGTGGAATTTGGTAGTTATGAAGGAAAGGAGCACAGTACTGTATAACAATAAAAAAATGGTGATGAAATAAGACAAAGATGTGGGGTAGCATACAGGTGCAATATATTGGCTAATGTACAAACATTAAAGAGACAATTCCTTGAAGTCTTACATATACAACTGAGAGCTTTCTTTTAGCCTCACACATACACAACTACCCCTGTTTGTCGCAATTTTTTTTTCAAATGAAAACAAGAAGAATTACTGTAGTTCTTCCAAGTTCTTATTTTTCCAACCTTCCCTTTGCCTCACACTAATTCTTCCTCTCTTTGATTATCTCATCAATTGTCATGTGATGGCTCTGGAAAATAACTGTCACAAGCATGTGGCCACCTCTTAATAATGGAAAGTAGTATTTAGGGAAGTTGTCCATATTGCTGGCACAAAATCTATTGACATTTGATAACTGGTATGGTCATCCTTTTCAGTGACTGTGGGCGATTTACGTCAAGATTAAATGTCTAAAATCCAGCCATTTCTAGGATTTTTCAGTGGTGAGACTAGCCTAAATTCTTGGGTTATGACACTATACCTTATATGGATCAAAGCTTAAGGTTTTGAATCCAAATATTCAGAACTTTACTTTATCCTCTTCGCCACTTGTCAGTTCTCTAGCCGATTGGGCGGTTGGTCATTCTCTGTTATACACTGATGAAAAATACTGGGCATGCACTGGATCTAGAATTTACCTGACCATGCATCAATGTTGGTCAAGTATGGTGCCATCACAAAATTCTCTGGCAGATTATTCAAAGAGTTCCCAACTCTTACTTAAAAAAAAATAATAATAATAGCATTAATTATAAAATTTAGACTTAAAACTGCATTGCAGTCACCCCTGGTGCTCGCCTAGCAACGGTGCTGTGCTACAGACCCTCCGACCTTTCCACACTTGCCAAACAGCTTCACAATGGAAGCCCGTAGATGCTTATAACTTTAAACCTTATGATAATTATTTATTGTATTTATTTTTTAAGTTTCTGTATGTAGGATTGTGTGTGTATGTAACTGAGAAAAAAATTAATTGCTGTACATCTACCCAAAATTATAAGTTAAATTAACTTTATTATTATTATTTTTGTTGCACTATCTGTATGTAAAAGTCAGTGTGTATATAACTAAAAAAAATAATAAAGAAAATTACATATACAGGCATCCCCTGCATTACGGAACCCCAGGTTGCGGAATTTCGCTCTTACAGAATTTGTAAATTATGACCAATAATTTCGCGACACGGCCCAGAAATCCGCCCTTACGGGAAATTGGGGTAAATTTTAACAATTTAAAAAAAAATCATTATATGAAAATAAAATTTTTTGTTGAAAATTATAATTTGTTTGGTGTGGATTTCTTGGTGTTTGCTACCGCCAAGCACGGCGTCGCCACACGGAGTCACTCCATTGTTTACATCCAGTGTGCGCGCATGTTTCTTGCCCCAGCAGTTGGATTTAACTTTTACAAACATACAGTAAGTACAGTACAGTGCATTACCCTTATTCAAGATGACTGGAAAGAGGCCATCAAGTGGAAGTGACCACAGTACAGTAGTGCAAAAAGAAGCCGCAAAGGCATTACATTGGATATTAAACTTGATGTTTTAAGAAGGTATATCATAAATTATTTAATTTACTGTATTGTATGTGTTTATAAATGTTTGATTTCATTCATAAAAGTGGGGCCAAAAAAAAATCCTTAGGAACGCATCTCCAGTTTTATAATGGAAGTCAATGAGAAAATAGGTTTCAGGTTACGGAATTTTGCGATACGGTCAATTTTCCAGGGATGCAACCCTTCCATAACGCAGGGGATGCCTGTATGTACCTGATATTATGAGTTAAAAACAACCATAACATAGAGCTCACAGGTGGGGTATGGTTGGAAATATCCCCACTCAGCCCGGGAATTACTTGGCGTTCATTTTAAATAGGAGACTTATGGGAGAGTATCCATAAAGTGGAAATCCATAACCTGAGATCCATAACCAGGGGAGTGTCTGTACACTACTCAAGTGGTCACTGCTAATACATAGAGTTAACCCTTAAATGCTTTGCCTTTCATGCAGTCTCTGAAAACTTGTGCCTATAGAAATTAAAATCCATGCTAACAGACTTACAGTTTCTCTGTTTGATGTGACAATAAGTCCTCCATCATCTACAAGTAGCACCAGATATTCCTTTTCATCCCACCATTCTGAGTTCCGTAGCTGTTCCACAAAACCATTGTACAAGAAGCTTGCTGTGAGATTTACTCCAACAACTGAAAACAAAGGAGATACATAATATTTAAGTTCACATTGTATAGTACCTGTACTATCTTTTTAGTAATATCAGGGTTTTAACAATGAATATTTCTCCTTATTGGCTTGCCTGGAAGGTTACCAACTTTTTCCTGTAACTTACATATTCAGTTATTTATGCATTCAATTATCCCCATGTCTCTAAGGAATATAACAAAAACAATTGGGAACTTTCTGCTCCTGCAATAAAGCACTAACTTTCTCTGAACTAAGGGTATTATGAGTTCAATTTCACAGAGTACTGTATTGGATACTGTATCTTTATGTTTAAGTTTTCACCAATTTTTTTATGAATCTACCTCTATGCATATTACAATTAAAATGAAAGCTCTTGCAGCTAATAAACAAAGGTAAAACTACAAGTACCTGTACCAGTAATAAAATGCAGGGAGTAGATATATATACTGGTAATAGAAGTAAATTGAGCTTTGGAAAATGTAATGATGCAATTTTTTACTCATAATTAAGGATCACGAGATTTGTCATAACTTAAGCCAGTATGACATACTGACATCCAGTATAGTGAATGAAACACATGTTCAAATTGACTTGACTTACTGCAGATGAATCCTCCTTCCCTTTTTTGATGGATACAGTATTTCAAAATCAATGGTCATTACTAACCTGCTGCCATTACTTCAGCATCATTCTTTTCTACTATAATTGGAGCGGACAGAAAGGCACCAATGGAGTGAGGAATGACAGAGACTTTCCTGTTGAGCTCCCCTCTACGCAGAGCTGGGTTATACCAGGGATCACTCCACATGCTCACTCCAGGTTTCTGACTGAGAAGAAAATATGATTTAATTTACATTTACCAAAAATATTTTATTTAAGTTTGTAGGAGCAATTACTGTATCGTATTTCTCAAGCACCAGTAAATGATTTAGGCATAAAAAACCCAAACATATTTGAAGCAGTTTTTCATGATGATATAGTAGTGATAATGAAATTTTGGGAAAATGCATAATTACTAAGTTATGATCCTTCTTGCCCTGCCAATCTCATGTCCACAAGGGGTTTGAAACAGAGGGAAATATTGAATTAAAAACAACTAAAAGAACCTATTCCCTGACTTATGACCTACTCGACTTATGATGACCCGGACTAAGAGTAAATTTTCCATCTCTTCAATCACATTACACTTTGCTTTGCTAAGTCTAAAGATTCCCTTAGCCACTTGCACAGTTTTTAACTCCTCTTTATTCTTCAAAATCGTACATATAATCGATTTAGCCATCCCATACTCATCACTAAGTTTCGCAATGCTTCTTCCATTCTCACGTTTCTTTATAATTTCTTTCTTAGTTTCAAGGGTTATTAGCTTTCTCACTCGCTTTGGACGACTCATTGTTACAATTGTATACTTGTATAACAAAATAGTTATACAAATAATGCGAATTTCCACATCAAAAGACGAAATTTCAACAATAACAGTGGTGCACTGGCTACACAATGAGACAAAGATGGCGCCTGACGCTCTTGTTGTGGGTTGCGGTACAACAATATTCATGCGCCAGGCGAAATAGTCCCCTATTCATCCGAGTTCGTTGTAGGAGTTGCGTTCGTTATAGCATTCTCAATTTTATAGGTAAAACCGTTCGTTATAGGAATATTCGTAGTAGGATCCGTTAGTTATAGCATACCCCACTGTGTGTGTGTGTGTGTGGATAAAGGAGAAAGAAATGGCAGGTGGTAACATTAGTGAAGCTATAATTTGTGAGAAGGCCAGACAATTGTTTGAGGACCTTAAAGCCAAGACTCCCAGTTGAAGTGATAGTGATGTGCCAGTGTTTAGGGGTACAGTGAGTTCTGCTATAACGCGTTTTTGATAACGCGAATTTGCTCTAACGCGATTTTTGAATTGGGAACGATATTTGTATAACGCGAACGCTTGTTTGCTATAACGCGATTTTTGCTTACTATTTCTCCAATTTTGTGGTATTAACTGTGAATATGGTAAAGAAGGATATCTCCAAGAAGCGTTCTGGTGATAGAATTCCCGGTGATGATCGTAAAAGAAAGGATATAACACTTGAAGAGAAGCTCGATTTTATCAACCTCAAAATCACCCTTCTCCCCCATCAAGTTACATTCATATTTTTTCATGGTAAAGTGTTACATTTACTGTATGATTTCATTATTAGATATGAATGTAACATTTATTTAGACTGTGCTATCCTTTGTGTTAGGCTAACTACTAAATTTTTTCGATTTGGAGTAATCTGCACCTAACCCTATTTTCTCCATAAGCCCTGTTATTTCTATTACGTGATTTTCTATAACACGATATTTTACAAGAACACAATTATCGCGTTATAGCAGAACTACCTGTACCTGCATGCTGAATAACACTAGGGTAAGATAAAGTACCGTATTTTTTACATTTTCCACAGAATTTTTCCAGTGTTAAGTGGTTGTATTTGGGGGCCTGGAACGGATTAATCCTATAACAAACGAATGCTATAACGAACGAGGTTCTGGAACCAATTACGTTCGTTATAGCATACCCCACTGTGTTATTGTATATATATATATATATATATATATATATATATATATATATATATATATATATATATATATATATATATATATATATATATATATATATATACAGTATTACCCGCTGCTGGCGCTTTTCATAGCGTTTTATATCACAGCGATTGCCTTGCCAAAGCTGAACTTTCACTTAACGTGGCATTTTTCATCATATACGCGGTGAGTGTCCGGCTCGAGAGCTATTTTTAGATTCGCACCACCCCCCACCCGCCACCCTGCCTGACTGCCTGTTTTAGCTCATAAAATTCATACAAATTACCCAGCCAGAATATAATTTACATTGCTGGAATTCTTATAATTTGGTGATCATTTTGAATATAAACAACATATTTTTGCATTAAACATACAATTTGTAGATAAAAATATTTCTCTAGGTAACTATGTTATCTTTTGTCCAAAATATATGACATTTATATTCAAAATATTCCTGGTCTTACAAGGAATCCAGCAATGTCAATTATATTATCCTAACTTTAGTTTGAGGTATTATTTATTAAAATTTAGTGGTTATCCCACACATCTCCTTGGGACGGTTGGTGGGGGGTGGGGGGGAGGGAGGGACCGACCGACCGACCATCTGTTACCCCGTGAAGAATTTTTTTTTTTTATTAACTGAAGATATTTGTTTTAGCTCATAAAATTCATACAAATTACCCGGTCAGAATATAATTTACATTGCTGGAATTCTTATAATTTGATGATCATTTTGAATATAAACAACATATATTTTGCATTAGACATACAAATTTTAGATAAAATGTTTTCTCTAGTAGATATGTTATCTTTTGTGCAAAATATATGACATTTATATTCAAAATATTCCTGGTCTTACAAGGAATCCAGCAATGTCAATTATATTATCCTAACTTTAATCTGAGGTATTATTTAATACTAAATGTTAAAAACTCTTGAATGGAGGATTGGTGGGGGGTGGAGGGAGGGTTGGGACTGACCGCGGGGTTGGAAGAGGGGGGGAGGCAAGGTGGGGTACTTTGATTGACAGATAGTGTTGAAGAATATTTTTTTTTTTTATTAACTGTAGATATTTGTTTTAGCTCATAAAAATTCGCCTGATTATCGACCCAGAATATAATTTACATTGCTGGAACTGCTTATAATTTGGTGATCATTTTTGGTCCTAAACAACATATATTTTACGTAAACCTAATTTTAAGACAAAAATTTCTCTAGAATGATATGTTATCTTTTGTGAAAAATATATGACATTTATATTCAAAATATTCCTCAATCTTACAAGGAATCCAGCAATGTCAATTATATTATCCCTAACTTGGATTTGAGAATTATTTATTACTATACTGGTTTTCCCCCAAAAATTTCTCAGAGGGAAGAGCCAGTGAGTGTAGTGTGAGAA